TAAAACAAGCAGACTTTTCTGAAAAGCCAGCTCCCTGTTGTAATTGCAAGTGAAAAAGTCAGAAGAATGAAGATAAGTTTATCTTTTTTTCCTGCTTGTTCACTTTGTACATTGATAGCATCTTGTCTGTTTTTCTTTCTCCTGATGGACAAATTTCCTTGCTGTTTCTATTGCTCTTCCAAACCTTGAGGCAGAAGTGGAAGAAAAAACAGCAGTCTATGCACAGCAGAAAAACGTCCCTGTGAAATTACAACAGGGTAAAAGTGGAAATGCTTTAGAGCTGAAAACTATCTTCCTTTTTCATGGACAGATAATTCCAAGCTGCTGCAGCTCCCATAAGTCTTTACTCTGTGGGGAAACATGGGACTCTGCAGTATTGGTCATTTAATCAAAAGGAACGGTTAATAGTCATGGAGAAGGAGCAAGCCGTAACTGTACAGGCAACATGAAGCAGGTTGGTGCAGCCTGACATGAAATGGTTCCCACAGCCCACTCGCTGGGAGATTTGGCCTGGTGATTGCAGCAGGGCAGTACCTGCTAGAGGCTCTACTGATGCACTCCACAGGATGCCTTGTTGGATCTGAAGGCAGGATTGGGACTCCATCTCCTCCTGACAGCTCTGCCCTTGGAAGCTCCCTTGCTTCTTGCCTAGTGTTGGCCGTGACTAGGCACAGAGGTCCTGGGTTTGTCCTTGCTGTAGGTCCCTGAGCACTCCCTAAAGCATTGCATCCAATTACAGGCCTTCCCTTTGGCACTATCCCCATAAACACTCATCTGTGGATATGCGGTAATTTTCCCCTCAAGGGCCATTTTCACACAGTAGGGTAGGTGCCTTCAAAAGGCCCGTGATGCCTGATTATAGGCAGTGTGTGGTGCTAGTTGCTATCACCTGCTCTCCTACAGCCCTTGCAAAGCATAGTCCACTTGATGCTAAGACTGGATTTCACGAAGACTAGAGCAGCTTTCCACTTCTGCTCCTAGCGAAAAGATGGTACACTTTGACCATCTTTACTGGACCTCCCTCAGGCTAAAACAAGATGTTCAAAATCAGATAAGCTACTACACTGGGCATTAAACTGAAAAGCAAATGTATAGCATTTGTAATCCCTTCAAAAATCAGACTATCTATCTGAGTTTTCTCCATTTATTTTAACCAAATTAAATAAAAAAGAAGCTGAAATTGCAAAGGGAAGCCACTTGGATAAATCCCAGTGCAGACACATCCAAAAGAAGAACCAACTCTAACCCTGAAACACATCTAGAAACATGAATAATTCTGCAAATACAGTATTTTTTTGGTTAAACGAGCCTTGCTAGTAGCACTGCTTCCAGTGTCTGACCAGTCTGTGACACACATCTCAGAGCAGAGGATTTTTCCATTAACATAGTGCTCTGGATGTGCCTGTTGTGAAACACCAAGCACACGTCACCAGCGTTCACTTTGAGCCGAAGAGCATCTTTGATCACAATCACTTGATTTTCTCTCTACTCCAAATATTACATATAGTTTCAATTGGACTCTTTGTTCCTTGTAAATACAAAGCAAATTCCTGCAGTACATCAAGGGGAAAAATGCAGTTGGATAAATAAAATGAAATACAACACAAAAGTTCTATTTGATTAAATTAAGAAAATCAAATTTCAGGCATCGTGAAGAAAGTTTCTGAGGCATCACATGGGAAATGCCACAGACGGGTTAGTCCTTGTGCAACCAAAAGAAATGCCATCTCCCCAGTATTCCTACTAAGTCTCTGCAATGTGATTTTTAAAGTAGTTCCTTGAGGTTGCTTGAGCATACCTAAAAACATAAATAAATGTGTTTTTTTCTCTTCCAGCTGCCAGTTAAAGTACTAGAGACATGTTTGCCACTGCTGAGTGACATACATCTATTCAAATCCCTTCTGAACTAGAATCAATATCATCTAGATTCATTACCTCCTGCTTTATTGGCAGTTTGGGTGCTTGTTCAGAAAACAGTCTCTCCTAATAATGTAATAAAGCCCCCACCTTGGAGATAATTAGGTTGTCTGAGATATAGCATCCACTGACGATCATTTCCCTGCTGATTTTGGCCTGCTGCTCCAGCTCAGGTTGCGGTCTCCGTCACTACACTCTCTTACATCAGACCGTCTGAGTCTCATCACCTAATAATTGCCATAGTAGATTTTTTTAGGTTTTTTTTTTATTATTATTCTATAACAACAGCAACCAGCCAAACCTCAGAGTGTCATCAACATGCTTTTAAAAATGCCCTGAAATGGCTTTGTCAACTACCTCGAGTTTTAATATCCCAGCCACAACACAGATATCCCTCACTCCAACAACAAAACCCTCCAGGAGTGCACATATGACACCACTCATCCCCACATTTCCTTTGGGTCCTCAGTGTAATAAATTCAAGCTCAAAACTGGGAGCAGAAGCGTACTCCAAAAATGCCAACTCTCTTTTCCTACCGCCCTTCCTGATGCCTTGATGGGTTCCCAACTTAAGCATCCTCACTTGTTATTAATTTCATTGCTAATAGATAGGGGAAGCACAGTCTGATGCATCCACTCACTCTTAACTCATCTCCCCTGATCCTGTGGTAGAACCCATCCCAAAAAGGTCCACGCATTCAGACTTTTTGTTTTGAATGCACTTGCTTTTGTCTTTCACCATTGAAGGATAAGAGAAACCAAATCCCACTCTGTTAGAGATGTCAGCCTGTAAATGATGCTCCCTCTACCCCAACAGGTGGGAATACATAACTTTGCAAGTCCCCTGAGGCCTTAGGATCATCTTCCTAATTATCTTCATGCCTTTAAATGACAGGATGACTGGCAGGAACTCTGTGCAAAGTATAGCAGATGAGACAATACTTGCTAGTTCCGAGCTAAAAACCAGTGTAAGTAGGAATATTTATTCCACATTTTTAGGCATTTAAAAGCAAGCCTTACCCAGTGGTATTAAATACTTAACTCACAAGTTGCACAAAGGGAAAGTGGGTTTCCCTTAATAGCACAAGTGCTGATAGTTTTGATGTATTTATCAAAACAAGCACAAGGACTTTAGGTGTAGAGGTGGCATTTTCCCCTTCTTGTACATGAGAGCTGGAAGTTCTCCCTTGGCTGTTTCAGGCTGTGACTCTCTTGTGGGCATAGTGCTTCCATTGGAGGCTTTCTCCAGTCATGGATTTTTGCCGACACATTGCAATTTGTTGACTTTCTAGGGAAGGAAATAAGGGTGCTTTTGCTAATATGCCTTGCTAGAACCCAACTGTTAAATCCATACCAGCTATTAATATATAGATACTCCATGGATGCTGGATTGGTATTTAACTTCCCACCACTTCGACAATTCCAAAGCAGTAGTCCCTAAACTATGCCTCACAAACCATCCATAATCTAATCAACCCTTTTGACATAGCTCATGACCTTAGCAGCCTGTCACCACCACGGTTCAGGTCATCAGGGAGAACAACGAATAATATTTCATTACATGCAAAATATTGTTGCTGTGCTGAACATTTTTTGCTCAATATCGTTGTCTATTGGCTAGCAAAGGCAGAAGTCCACCAGCATAGGTACATTGCCAAATCCTGGGATCCCCGGGAAACATCCCAGTAGTCTTGGAGTCTAGCCTGAGCCTGGATAAATACAATGTATTATGATCAACAAAGCACTTAATTAATGAATGCTGACATTGTACCTTCTGTGGAACAAACAAAGAGGAAAGCATGGCCCTCTGCCCAAGGAGCTTACAGTCTAAACGAGACTGGCAATACAGATCAGACACACAAGACGCGCAGAGGGAAGGCTGATACTTCAGCTTTCCCTTTGTTTTATGTAAATACAGATATAGACAATGGCAGCAGAAAGTAAAGCATCTCTCTCCAGGACCCCACAGCTTTTCTCGTCCTCCTGTCCATAAGCAAGTTTAGATTTTATCCTCCCTTCATCTTCCTACTGTCTCCCTATGCACACATGCCTCTTTTCACATTAAGTTCTCCCTAATTTAAACACTAATTTTTTTCAGTCTTCCACATTTAGTTCTACTAGCACAAAACATGTCCCTCCAAAAGTGGATCATCTCACCTTCTCCCCTCACTTGACCTAGGCCATCCACCTCCCTGGTTCAAATACTCTCACATATTTAGATCAAAAGCTCATCCATCCCACCACTCTAAAGTCTTTTCTTCCTTTTCCTACAACTCCTAACAGCCTACAATCTTTGCAGAGATTATAATCTCCTCTGCCCACGCAAGATCCCATCTCTCTCCATCCCATCTGAACTCTTCCATTTCCGTCAAGATCATGAGAACATGTCAAGTAAAATCACACCCTCAGGCAATGCGCTCAGACACTGAGGACTGGATGCAGGGGGAACCGTTACCATCTACAGATCTAAAGTCCTTCATGCAGAGTAAATTACTATACCACAGGAATTATTCTGGATCTCTTCACTGTCTATACTATACGGAAATGAAACACGTGTAGTCTATAAACATGTCATGTACAAATGTAGATCACAACTCAAAACTGAGTACCTTCCCACCCCCAAAGCACATTATTCTGGGGACTAGCATTTGTTGATTTGTTTATCTTCCTTTGCCAAAAGCCAAGAATTCATCATCAGTCTAAATCCCTCCAGCTTTTCTATTTCCATTCCTCTTTCATTTCCTTTAAAATACTCTCCACTCAGCCAAAGTGTTACTTAGTTTTCACTATTTTTTTTTTACTGAGAAATTTAAACATATTGAAAAAAAACTGTAATAAGGCCCCAGAAGATTTTAGACCTGAATAAGCGACACACACAAACTTCTCTTCCCTGCAGTTCAGAAAATGTATTACTATGCACAATATTGTCATTATCCTCTCTCCTATTATAAGTGACACAAGGAAGTTGAAATATCTGCTTCATGCTGGTGAGAAGTTGACAGAACTGAAGGAAAACGTAGAAAAAAAAAAAAACCAACACAACAAAACCAAACCAGAAGTGAGGATATTTTTAAAGCACTTACCCAGCATCAGTGCTATTGCCGCAGAGTAACACATCTTCTGTACCATTTTTTATGAAATAGTTCACTGCAACAGAAATAGAGAAATGGCTTTTTAACAAGTACATTCTGGGAATGATAACATTCACAAATATCATCCACCAACCAACATATTCAATTGGGATGGTAATTGAGAGATGAATGGCATGCCTTTGCTTTGTTTTGCTAATTTTAACTTTTATAAATTGTAAAAGCAAATATATTTTTTTCAAAGCTCTTTAAGTACTTGCTCTTTGTATTCCAAATCTGAGCGTTTTAATAAGGTGGCAGGAGGGCTCTGGGCAGAGTTTGTAGGAACCACCATCTAGCCATGTCCCTGACTTTTCTAAAAACATCATTTTTACTGAATTCAGTATAGCACTATGTAGTGAATCCAAACCATAAGCTTGCCCATAGCTTTTAAACTCTACACTGATGAGATACATATTAATTGAAGTTTGTGATAGGAATTCCTGACTCATAGGTTAAGAACGCAGCTAGCTACAAGTCAAAATGTAATAATACTAACAAAGCAGCCCACTCCCCCAATCTGGTGGATTCTGCCCCGCATGGGAAACATAAAGCAAAAGAAACAGAAAAATGCACCCGGTTAAAGATCAAGCAAACAAGGAAGTATTCATAAAGACAAATATTTATCAACGCAGTCATCTGTAATGGCAATGGGGAGAGAGAAAGAGAGAGACACTTCTTGAGGGAGACTCAGAGGAGCAAGCTAAATTTAAGTGCTCTGGTTCATTCCCTGGTTGACTATCAATGAGGCTTAAGGAAATTAGCATCCTCAGGCTAATGAGAGCTTTTGTGTACAAACTCCCTCTTCTACCCCCAGCCAACAAAGCCTAATGTTCAGAGAAACAGAACAGGAGGCCAGCTTCTTCTCAAAAGGATAAGCAAAATTAGTTTTCCAGAGAGAGTCTGAAGAAAAGAGATATTCTAAGGAGCACCTCTAAAACCTGAATGGTGGCGTGGAAGTATGGATAAAAGCATTGCTCCAGAAACATAATAAATGCGAAACAGAGGCCAGCAGCTGACTGATGGCTTGGCTGCATCAGGGAGGATGGGATCCCCTGTTGACATAAGACATGATGGTGGGAGCCTTGCACAGCATGTGCTTGTGAGCAGAGGGGCCTCTGTAGATGATGCTCGGAAGAGGTTCTCCATTCTAGGCTAATCCTCTGTTGTGAAATTTTTAAAAATCAAGAGTGACAGCTTATCCAGGCAGACTATGCGAAGAATGCTCAATGGCACAAGCCACCAAACAGATGTGCTGTGGCTTTCTCAGTACGCTGTGAGCAGTGGAAAAGCCCTGCCCTGCTGCATGCCAAGAGGGAATTACTGTCCATGAGCTTTTGGTTACAAGGGCACGTGATGGTGTTCACAAGTTATCCTGCTCAGACTGTATGCTTTTGCACTTTGTCTCACATGTGGGCTTTCTGCGGAAGCATCTTGACTGACAGCAACACCCAGGTATTCAATGTGGTTAAAGACCAGTGATCAATCACCACACATGGGGGAAGGATGTCATGTCTTCCATCTCCCTTCACCCTCAACTTCTGCTGCTGAAAGACTTCTGCTTCTCTCAGGACAGATGGTATCTCATTTGGGAAACAAAGTGACACAAACTCATCACGCTCTGGGGTACGGAGGAAATGTGGCACAACCATGAGGTAAGAGATAGACAAACAACTGCAGAGGTTTTGCACCTTGTTATGAAACCACAACGGGTACCCTGAACTTCACAGACATGCACTACTGCCTGGGAACTGCAACTTTTCATACTGCAAATGCCAAGACCAGAAGGACCATAGATCTGTCACAGTGTCTTGATCACTTTCTTCAAGGGATGACTGAAGCTTTGGAGCACAGTGCTGGTTCAAGACCAAACCAACACCTCCTGGTCAGCCAAATCAGAAGATGAGAACAGACTCAGGGCACAGAAGTAAGGGTAAAATGAGACTGTGTGCAAACAAGAAATTTAAAGGCCCAAGAACAGAAAAATTCTGTTGCCTGTTGTTGGCTTAAACAATTTACATTTGCAAAACAAGCTATATGGCAGGTGCCAAAGCGTGCTATGAAATGCATGTTGAGGAACCTGTGCGTAGATGCTGCTGGGAGGAGTATCTTCACCCCTGAGCCTGCAACTGCGCAACAGAGTGTCACAGCTACCGTGCCAAACTTCAGCCTGAGGAAGAGCTGAATTGCTGATTCCCTCCTGATAAATGACGGGGGTATTAGAATATTATACCCAAGGAGACAAATTGCTGTATTATCAAAAACACACACAGCAATCAATTTGTCATTCAAAGCAAGTTTGTTTGGGTTGTGATCAAGCATGCTGGGCAATCAGAAGTCTTTAAGAAGCAAGCAGTCATCACTCTTGCTTTTAAGAACAGACCACCTTGGTATCATACAAACCCATGGCCTCAGCTTTCCATCAGTTAGCTCTAACAAGGACAAAGAACATAAAACTCCTTTTTCACTTGCAGGAGAATTTTCTCTCTGAAACATAGACTGCTCAAACCAGTCGACACCACCTGAAAACACAACAACTTTTTCATTGTCTTGGAAGATTCCAGTTAGGTTTGGTTTGGTTTTGTCAGCTTTTTCACTGAAAAATTTCTGCATGTCAGTGGGAAACAAAGTGGGAAAACAAAAGCGGAAAACAAAACTGGAGACCTCCATATTAGATTTTTTTTTCAATTTTTAAAGTAAAATCAAGCCAAACAATGACATTTGTGTGTGCGCATGTACATACATAATCTTTATACAACATGCCATTCTTTCCAAAGGAAATGATCTTTTTTTTTTACCATCTTTACAAAACCGTTGATGTCACAGTTATAGTGTATGCAACGCCTTTAGGAACTTGCCAGGACTTTCCAGAGTAAGAGAACTACTTGATCATATTAAAAGAATTAAAAAAAAAAAAAGGTCATAATAACACTGGCTTCATATCCGTCATTATTTACTTCATTGTTGCCAAATAAACTCACCTATTTTTCAATACTACAAAACATCTCCTGTCAGTACTCAGCAGTCAAACATTCAACAGAAATGTGTTTTCTAATAACCAGATGTTATCTTCTCCAAAACATATGCATATTTGTGCCTGAGCCTTATAAATACATACTTAGACCCTGTATCTCCAATGCTCCTGACACAGTATTACTTGCGTTAGGTTGATTCTGTTGCCATTAAATAGATGTATGATGAATCCATATGTTGGTGTTGTCTTCCCAGGACTTGTGTTTTAGAGGTGTAAAATAATTCAGTTCAGCAAAATAATCCTGTAAAGTGAGTGCTCACAAGCAGCTTATTACCTTCTTACAGAGTTTTGTCTGTCTGCAAAAGGCAGCGAGATGATGACAACTCCTTCAGCCAAAGTGGCTCAAGCACCGGTAAGAGTAAAGATTTCGCCCAACCCCCCACCCCTTGCTGTGTGCAGGGTATGACGAAGCTCACACCACCGTAACCTCACTGCAGCTAGCACTCGTGCCAGTTAGATGGAAATAGTTAAGGTTTACCTTCATCTACTATGAGTCACGTCTTCCTTTGCATGGACATTAACACACATGTAGCATCAAAGAGTAAACGCTCCTCGAATGAATTCCCCTAACTGTTTTGAGGAAAGGGTTAATAACAAATATTACTCAGCACAGTTGTTATACATTACACTACTCTTTGGTAGGGACTACTGACGGCTGGTTTTAGATGTGACATAGAGCCCAGACAGCAAAACACCGTGACTGTGGGGTAATGTCTGCTCTTCCCCATCACCAGCAAACGGACCTTATACTAAACACAGCCCAGGAAATAATGTTCACTAATCCAGCTCTCAGTTACATTTACATCAACCCCAAGTAATTCAATCTCTTCAACATCCTCGGAGCTCCTGGCTTTCCAGGGACACCGAGAAGCTCGGTAGCAGCCCTAACGATCAGCGGTCCCTTAAAGCTTAAGCTTGCAACAGCATTAGGAATATGAAAGTATATCATGCCCTTTTTTCCTCCTGTAACACCGTGAGTTGCTGTCTCTCGTGCAAGTCAACGCTCTGCCTCCTACCCCGCTCAAAGCACACAGCATTAACCCTAATTTTGAAGTTGCTGTATGCAAGTAGTGAGGAAATACACAAATTATTCTAGACTATTCTTGCAATGTCTTCCTTCCAAAGTCAATTCCCCAAGCTTCTCGTAATTTCTGCTGTTTCATTCGACACTTTTTCCATTTTATCTGTATCTTTCAGGTTTCTACATGGCTCCCTTCCACACCAGGCAATTCTAACAGAGTGAACATTCACAACGGCTCCACCTGTCATGTTAAGGAAAAAAAAAAAGAAAAGGCAAACTTCCTCAAAAAAAAAAAAATTCTAATTAAAATTATGCTCCAGTTTATACTTTTCACACCTACATCACACCACTGAGCAAAAAGCCAGTGGGGTACGTAGAACTGCAGGGTAGAAATCCTCCTCATTTCTATGCAAAGGAAAGGAAAAGTTTCCAGTTCAGAAAAATGGAAAATGTTAGAGCCAGCTTAGAAAACATAATTTCTGAGTCCAGCTTCTGTTCCTCCTCGAAGACCCAAATGAAATTATATTCTGACTCGTCTTACAACAAATTCATTGCAGTTTGAAAAAAAAAACAAAAACCAAACCCCTATATATTATCACACTTGCATAAAGAGCAGCATTCAAATATCATTAGTCACTGCCCAGAGTAGAGTCCTCTGGCTGACTTTCTAACAAGAACTTCAGAGAGGTGTCTGTTATCTCAGCCTATTTATTGCAGCCACACGGGTGCTCGCTGGTTGGAGGCTTTCTCCCCATGCTTTGGCTGGCGCACAGCACTGACAGCCACCAAACATCCCGATTCCAAATTTAAAATACAATTCAGAAAGCCCCGTCACCTTACAGTTATGATACGTGACGTAGAAACAAAACAGATAACACCCCCTCCTCGCCCTTTCGCCCACCGGCACAAACATGCTGTACCTCCTGGCAATACATAATAATTAAAACGAATCCTTGCTGCACTT